ACACACACACACACACACACACACACACACACAGGGCAGCTTGTGGGCTCGCTGACTTCCATCATAGAAAATAAAATTTTCAGGATGCATCAGCGAGAGGCAAAAAGAGGTTTATTTGGCAGAATTTAAAAGTTCACACTCAGGAAATAGCATGTTGGCCAGAGAGAGACACAGAGAGAGAGAGAGAGAGAGAGAGGGAAAGGGGCAGTGTGGTCAGCGGCTGGGGGCTTCTATGTGGACGTGGAGGTGTCCTCAAAATGGATGACCTAGGCTGCGTCTTCATGGTGTTGGTTAGGTTTACCCATCGGGTAGGCTGTTAGAATGTGTTGGAAGCTGAGACAAGCTCGCTGCCCCTGGAAGAAAATATAATTTACTGGTGAAAATCTGGCTTCTCCTGTCTTTAAGACACTTGGAGTTTTGTTTTTGTTTTTAGTGAGTTTCTTGGGAAGGAAAAAGGCACAAATAACTTTTGTGTCCTGAAGCTGCAGTTTTTTTAAAAAGTATAATTTTCCGGGGCTGGGGATTTAGCTCAGCGGCAAAGCGCCTGCCTGGCAAGTGCAAGGTCGTGAGTTCGGTTCCCGGTACCGGAAAAAAAAACTAAAAAAAAAAAAAAACAAATAAAAGTATAATTTTCCTTGTGTCCTTTCTACCTATCTTTATTTCTTCTACCCCACCTCAATAGGAAAAATCCAAGAATCATAGCTAGTTGTGTTAAAACCATGGCGTTCTAGACAATTTTCAAGTCAAAAATATGCTCCCTCTACCGACTTCCCATCCACTCAGGGTTCCCTCCCTGCCTGTGCTCCCTGCACCACACACATAATCCCAAGATGTAGAGATAAAACTTTCATGATGGAATAGAAATCCTCACTCCAGTCCTGATGTTGCTGCTAACCCACTGGATGATCTCCAGCCTGTTACCCTCCTGGGTCCTCAGTGTTTTCATCTGTAAAAAAGGTGCAAAGGAAAGTCTAAAGTTGGATTAGATCAATGGTGTCCAATTTTGTGCAACAGAACAGAGGGAAATTGAAAAATTCAGGATTTACCCATACTGACCCAATCGGTATATCTGAAAATGGCATCTGAGACTGACATTTTATAAGTCTCTTCCCCACAACCAACTCTTTTTTTGAAAAAGTTCAAATCCACAGAAAAGTTGAAAGAAGAGTACGAGGAAAACCCCTACAAATACCACCAAGACTCACCAGTCCTCACACTTGCCACACTTGCTTTCCCATTTGAGTGTATGCACCCACTCATCCACATGGCTGGGTGTTATGGTTGATACACTGTGTCAACTTGGGGAGTCTAGAGCTTTGGCTAAGTGACTCAACAGTTCTGCATCTTGGGTAAAAAGGGCATGCCCTTACCCTTCTGGGATGTTGTTTATTGTGTTAATTTGAGAAGTTTAGAAGGTTAACTATGTGACTCAGAAGGGAGCCAGCGAGCTTACTTTGTATTCATCCTAAGCCTGTGCAAGAGGAACGCATGCAGAGGGTGCGGGTGTACAGGACCACCCCCATTCCCCGAGAGCAGGTAGACTGCATAAAAAAAAGGAATTGAGGAAGGACTGGCTGCTGGTTCTTTGGAGGAGCTCCGGTCTTCACCTTCAGCTTGATCGTCTCCTGGCTTCTGGTGCAGACTGTTGGGCTTCCGCCTGGGACTCTTCAGCCTTCTGGTGTTGGCTCTCTAGCCTTCATCGTAGATTCTTCAGCATTCCATCGCAGACCCATCAGGCTTTTGATACGGACTTGCACGGACACTGCAGCGAGCTCCAGGCCGGGGGCTGGGCTCTTCCATCTCCAGCGTGCAGATACCCTCTGCACGCTTCCTCATCCAACTCTGTAGCTGACCATTGTGAGCCAAACTTGTAATTTCTTGTATATTTGTTTATCTTGTATTATATCTGTTCCTCTAGTAAACCCTCACTGATACACTGGGTCATTTGAAAATATCTCCACAGTATCATATTTGACTCTAAATAATTCATCACTATCAAGGACATTTTCATACCTGACCACAATGTCCTTGTCATCTCCAAAGACTCTGCTGTGAGGTAATGATAGTGTCTAATATATAGTTCATGTGCGAAGTTGGGAATCTATATTTTTAAAAAGCTTCCCATGTGACTTGTGCACTGTTTTTGGAACCACTAGCCTGGATGATCTCTAATCTCCCTCCCAGTTCCAATCTTTTGTGGGTCCATACATCCACCATATCATCTTCACTAAACATGCAGATGTCCACTTACACAAGGCTCTGGGTTTGCTACAAAGCAAGCTGCTCTGACAAGCAGTCTGGACTTCAGGGCTTTATACACCAACCCTGGACAACACTACATTAATGTGGAGGGCCACCCAGGGGACTATCCTTGAAGGAGGAGTAATTGTCTCCATTTTGGCTGAACCTGGCCCTATTGCCATGTATTGATGTGTGCAGAGCTGGCTAGGACTTTTCCTTATCTCCTCAATTGGTTTTAAGCAATGCAAATCGGTCCAGCCAGGTGCTGACACGTAGTCTTTGAAGCAAGGCAACAGGGCAGTGTTTCCCCGCCCCCCTCTAGCTCCCAAATAAAAACTCATGAGCCAGGGCAGGATGGAGAGCTGTGCTCCATGCTGTTGGCTGGGATTGTTTGGGCTATGATTTACCAGGACATAAAAGATTTCACACCAGAGTTGAGGCACCAACCCCAAAACATTAGATACTACTGCAATTGTGTTCTTGCAGACTACGCTTTCTGCATATTGCAGGGGTGATTTCAGGCCTCCTACCTAGCCCAGCTCCTACTTCCCACCATTCTCACAGTCACTCATTCTCAAGCTACTCCTTTCTTCATGAATAAATCCAGGTTCAGCCCTGGGTCAAGGCCTTCGTTCCAGTTAGCCATCATGGTAACTGGACTTAGGACCCCTTGGCTCCCCCATAACTACAAATATGCCTTGCCATGGGTTGCCCCGGAAGTGGTAGATTGGAAATAACTCACCAGAATTCCAATAACTTTTCAATGGGATTACAAATATAAATTTTCTGGGCCTAGATGCGGACCAGAAAGGGCCTTCTATAACTAACAAAGCAGACTAGATGGGCTTCTAACTGCTTACCTAAGGCCTGGAGCAGGCCGTGTGTGCGCTTGACTATGTGGTACATGAGCTTATTGATTCTCTGGTCTGCTTCACTTTCAGACTTTCACAGAAGTATAAATTGCACACTTTTTAAGCAAAGCTGCTTAGCAGCTCACGTGGAGATCAGGGTGATACAAAGAAGGGCAGGATGGTGGAGTAGTAAAAGGAGCGCAGGCTGGAATCCTGGACCAGATCAATCACCTTGGATGAGCTACCATTAAGCTTCAGTTTTCTCATTTACAATGTGGGACTAAAACAGAACTGCCCAGTAAAGACAGCTACACCAGCAGGTGGTTACACAGCGAATTAAAAACTAGTTGCCTCAATATGCCTATGCTCACTATGCAAAAAGGCTAAAAGTTTGGGCGGTGTATACAGTGGCCCTAACCCGATCCCTGACCAAATCTTGATCTTAATCACAAGCTAAGTTTCTTGGAGGATCTGTGGCCAATCTTTTCGTATGTGTGTGTTGGTGATGGTAGCGATCAAATACCACTGAACTACACCCCCAGGCTGAGATTTTGTGGAAATCGGAGGGTTGGAATAGATCTCCATGGTCTTTTGTGACTTCATACAGGTTAATGTGCACCAGGTGGCCCTGCACCAGGTGGCCCTGTCTGACCCTGACTTCATCCTCCTTTCCTTCAGTTCCTCTGGAAGCCAAATTCAGGCCCTTTGCCTCTCTTCCAGCCTGGATCACTCATCTGCCTAGATTTTTGCTTGTCTTATTCACTTACCAAACACCTCTTCATCTAAAATAGGATCCATTTTCCCCAGTCATTCTCCATGGCGTTACCGTTTTTTGTTTGTTTGTTTTCTTACAGGATAACCTAAAATTATTTTGAGTCGGGCATGGTGGCACACACCTGTAATCCCAGCACTCAGGAGGCTGAGGCAGGATTGTTGCGAGTTTGAGACCAGCCTGGGCTACAAAGTGAGCTCAAGGCCAGCCTGAACTGCATAGCGAGACCCTGTCTCAAAAAAAGACACACACACACACACACACACACACACACACAAAAATTATCTTGATTGATTTGTTCATCTGTCTTCCCTGGGTTGTTTACTCCCAGACCACAGATGGAGCTCAGCAAAAACTTGAATAAATTGAATGTGTGCATGGGTTAACAAGGCAATGGAAGAATTCCGTCCCATTTTCTTGGTTTTAGAGCACTTTTACCTCACCCTACCCTCTCCGCAAAACTCCAGGAACAAGGGCAAGCAGCTACGCAGCTGCAGATCTGGACCGCGGACGTGTTGCTATGACAACGGGCCCTCGTGGCCGGAAGTGACGTACGACCACCTCCGCTTCCTACAGAGACACTTCCGGTTGGGAAATAAGTGGCACCGTTTCCTACCGGGTAGGTTGAAAACGCTGTTAGTACTTACTTTCATGTTTTAAGATGCTCATGTAGAAGCCCAGCGGCGGTTCCTTTTGTCTTCTGAGAGACCCGCCTTTGGCCTGCGGTCCCCAGGGTTGGATTGGCGCCGCGGCCTTCCTGCCGCCGCGGGTCGCACCACCCCAGAACCGCGGCTTGGGACTTCGGGACTAAGAGGATAGAAGGTCCCCGTCTCTTTGGGTCTCGCCCTCCGTGCTCCAGAGCGCCCACCCCGGGACAGTGAGAGAGGCCGGCCGGCTCGAGCCCGGGGCCCGCGGGGCGGAAGTGTGGGGAGGAACGCGTGTCCCCTCCTGGGAGGAGGCTGCACCCCGAGGGGCCAGGGACGAGCGAGGCGAGATCCCGGTCTGTAGAGGCCGACCCCGTCTCAGTTGCGCATAGTGCGTTAGGGAGGAGCTGGGTTGTTGGGAAACACTTTATTTAAAGGGGGAGGTGGGATCCAGCTAAGGAGATTGCCAGGTCTACTGGAGAAAGTGGGTTCGTACTGAGGCCAGTGAAAGGGCACAAAGCCAGCGGGCAGGAAGAGCGTCCGGGGCTGCCCGGCTGGAGAGGAACGTAGTGTATTCTAGGAACTGCAAGAAGGTGGAGGGTGTGAAACCCGGGTAGAAAGGACGGGATACAGAGGCAGACGTGAGCCAGACCAGGTCCTGAAGACGGGAAGAGAACTGACGGGTGTAAGGATTTTGACTTTTGTCTTAATAATGGAACTATAGAGAACGCCTGTGTATTTTGAAGGTTGTACTGCACTGGAAAGGCCAGACGGATAGCTTTAAGAGGTGTTCACCAAAAGAGAAAGAAAAAGAAGAAAGAAACTAATGGAAGGTAAGAGTATTTAAAAAGAATCACCTTTTTTTTTTTTATTCATTGCTATTAAGGGATCCTGAACTATATGTGTTATATTTAGTGACTGGAAGGTCACAGGCAGTTTTATTAGTGCACTCCCAGGGGAGTGCTGAGGTGGAAGCTACAAAGATGTAGGTTAAGAACGGGATGGAGCCCAGCACATCCTGTAATCTCAGCACTGGCTGAGGCAGGACAGTCACAAGTTTGAGTCCCACCTGGGTAGCTTAGTGAGACCTTGTTTCAAAATAAAAAGTTGGAAAAATGGGGCGGGCCAGTGATGTAGTCATTTGTACAATGCCTCTGGATTCTATATACAGTACCTTAAAAAGAAGTGGAAGGGGAGGAAATAGAGCATTTTCTCTCTCAAGAAATGTTGCTATGAAGAGAGGAGGGGAAAAACTGGATAGGACTTGAGGGTTAGAGGATGGTTGCTTTTTTATTTGTATCTTTTAGGTAGAAAAGACTGAAGATTGTGGGAGTGTTGCTACAAAGGAGCCAGTGCAGAAGGGAGAGACTGAGATGGGGGGAGGTAGCTGATGGGTCACTCTGAGAAAGAGGTGGGGCTGAGAGTCAGCACACATGTTGAAGGAAATGACCTTCAGGGAGGAGGATATTGTTGGAGCAAGATGGAGAGAGAGGATGAAAGCAGGTGTGTTTGTTTCTGAGCATAAGCTGTTTCTTGAGAGTGAGGTTGTAGGCAAGTTCATAGCAGCAGATTGAAGAGGAAGAATGACTTTTGGAAGTTCTTTGAAGTAAAGGAAATTTGATTCACCAATCAAAAGAAACAGACTGGCAGAATGAATTAGGAAGCAAGATCCAACAATATGCTGTATACAAGAAACACATTTAACCCACAATGAAGTAAAGGAAATTTAAAATAGTTACTATTTCAAGAAGAATGGAATGGTGCAAGCTGCATATGTAGTTTAAAATTTGCCAAGAGCCATGTTAAAAAGGTTTCAAAAGGACAGGCAGAATTAGGAATGTATTTTACTTAACCCTGTATCCAATATTATTTCAATATTAAGTCACCATATAAAAACTATTAATGAGATATTTTATCTTCTTTATTTGAAGTCTTCCAAATGCAGTGTGTATTTTACAGTAGGCCACAATTTATCCTGGCTGCATTTCAGGTGCTTCTTAGTCTCATGTGACTACTAATCCCATGGGACTACACAGATCAGAGAAAGAGTTCACAATGTTCAGTTCTCAACTGTAGTCAGGACCCAGGTGTTTAGAGTGGTGCTCAACTGCCCAGGTGTGAATTTTTTTCTCTAGACTTTCTCAGCAGCTTGAGGGGAACCAAAGAAATTTATTGAGCTTTTAGGGCCGTGCACAGTGCTAGGAGTCAGAGCTACATAAAGCAGAAGACCCAGTCTGCTAGACCTTCTCTGATTAGGGAGTCAAGTTAGATCACCTGTTCTATAGATGAGGTCACAGAGAGGCCTCCCTTGTCTCTGAGTGGTGGATCCCAGCTGGATAACATTGGGAATGAAAGTCTCACCCAAAGCTCTAGGTGCCCCCATGAAAGGTGAGGTGCCCAGGCTGAGGGCCCTGCCTGGTAGTTATTTATTCAAATGTTCTTTCACATCCTGTTCTCTTCAGCACACAAGTCTTAGAGCTGCCGCCTGTTACCTAGGATACATTGAGTGCTCTCTGCCAGAAATATGCATATAGCATGCAGGCTTACGAGCTCAAGGATTCTTGTTAGTGGAAACAATCTGTAGATTGGAATATGTCAGTGACAAGGAAAGGAAATAAGAGTAGACTTTAGATTTCTGAGCTGTATAAACATATTATCTAGCCAAAGATACATAAAAATCTAAAAATTTGAACTGAGAAGCAATACAGAGCAAGAATGTGGTATATTTGCAAAACTAGTTTTTAACTATGTATTTTCTAAAGTACATCTCTGTTACTGTGTTTGAATTCCAAAATGTATGTGCCATATTATTAACATTACAACCTTATGTATTTTCACTTTCTATTGGACACTAACAAGGTGTGTCCACCCTCTTTTGCAAAGAACGGGCCCTTCTAGGTGATGTTCTTGCATACCTGATGCCCCATGAGGGAGCCCACCCTGCAGTCTCCACTCATGGAGCTTGGGATGTGGCTTTAGGGGATGGGAGGGGGGGCGTGAGGCAGACACTGCGTTGCTCTTTGAAATTTGCCTTTTAGCAAAGGACACACATTAAACGTCTGGTTAAGTCATTGTTTTATTTTTTAAATTGAGCTAAATTCTACAAAAGAGAAGCATAATTTGCTGTGAAAGTACATCTTCACCAGTGGGCCTAGAGGGAGTGGATTCCACTGATTCTCCTGTCCATTATACTTAATACAGTATAAAATTTATAATTGTGACTATAGGTTTGTCATTTGTCATGCAGTTTCATTTTTGCTGTGACCCACCCCTGGTAATATTTAAAATGCAAAGCTAAACTGTTGTCACATTTCTCTATAGGCATAAAATGGAAAGAGAATCAAGCAGATTTGAAATCCACATTCCTATTTTTGACAAGGAAAAGTACTCGGTATGTAAAGAAAAGCCCCAGAAACATGCCCACGAAAGCTTCCGAGACGCCTCTCTGGCAAATGACCACCCTCAGATAACTAAGAAGAAGAGGAAGGATTTCCAGCCTCTCATTTCTTCTCCACTGAAAAAATCAGAAATCTTGGACAAGAGTGAAAAGGCCACTTCTATACATAAAAAGGGGAAAAGTAGTGCTTTGAGGGTAGACAAGGAAACAGGTGTTATGTATGTCTTTGTGGATAAAGAAAATATTGAGAACATGCCGAAGAATTGTAGGAAAGATGTGGACGTTGTTTATGTTGATGCAGGCAAAGTACGAAAGTCAGCGAAAGGACATAAAGCAGACAGACTGTACTCCATTGCCAACTCAAATATACATAAGCCAGAAGAACTGCATAATAAAGTTAGGGGGGAAAAGAATAAAAACCGTCGGAGGAAAGCCAAATCCTGGGATGCTATACAGGAAAGCCAGTGTAAGACCGTCTCTCAGCCCCAGCTGGAGTCACAGGAGCAGCCATCCTTGCTGTCTATAGATAGAGAAGGTGAAATCACAGAGCTACCAGAGTCTGCTGATAAAAGCAAGGCTAAGAAAAAAAAGAAGTTGTTCAGTCCCCAGGGGACGTTAGCCAGGCCTGACAGTCCTGATCACAGGCCTCCTGAAGGATTGCAGGGAGCCAGCAAAGGCAGTGATTTACTGGAAAGAGCCAAGGGATCCATCAGTATAAGGAAAAATTCTAAGAAAAGGAAACGTGTGTCTGTTGAAAGCGCCTTGGCATCTGATGATGACTTTTTGGTACATGGTAAGAAGTCTAAAAACACACTCTTTCATTCAGAACAAGACAGTTGTGCCTTCACTGAAGGAATTGTGAAACCCAGGCCGCAGAAGGAGTGTCGCAAGCAGCCATCCTTGCTGTCTGTGGGTCGAGAAGGTGAAATCACAGAGCTACCAGAGTCTGCTGATAAAAAGAAAGCTAAGAAAAAAAAGAAGAAATTGTCGAGTCCCCAGGAACTGGGGGCCTTGGCTAGACCTGCGAATCCTGGTCACGTGCTCCCTGAAGGGTCACAGGGCGTCAGCAAGGTTGGGGCCAGAGAAGGCAGTGATTTACTGAAAAGGGCTGAGAGATCCATCAGTGTAAAGAAAAATTCTAAGAAAAGGAAGCGCGTGTCTGCTGAAAGCACCGTGGCCTCTGGTGATGACTTTTTGGTACATGGTGAGGAGTCTGAGAACACACACTTTCATTCAGAACAAGACAGTTGTGCCTTCACTGAAGGAATTGTGAAACCCAGGCCCCAGAAGGAGTGTCGAAAGCAGCCATCCTTGCTGTCTGTGGGTCAAGAAGGTGAAATCACAGAGCTACCAGAGTCTGCTGATAAAAAGAAAGCTAAGAAAAAAAAGAAGAAATTGTCGAGTCCCCAGGAACTGGAGGCCTTGGCTAGACCTGCGAGTCCTGGTTACGTGCTCCCTGATGGGTCACAGGGCGTTAGCGAGGTTGGGGCCAGAGAAGGCAGTGACATGTTTAGAAAGGTCAAGGTAAAGAACCGCTCTAAGAAGAGGAAGCGTGTGTCTCTCCAGAGCGCCTTAGAGTGTTGTGAGGACTTTTCAGTGCATGGTGAGAGCTCTGAGAACATGCTCTTCGGCTCAGCAGTAGGCAGTTGTGCCTTGATGGAAGAAAATGTGAAGGAGAAAAACCAGAAGGAGCAAAGTCAGGCATCTTCCAGAGAGAAGCACATGGCGGAGGCATGGAGGTAATGTGGGAATGGTGAGCTGACATAAATAGCATTTACGAGGTGTACTGTCTGATGAATTAGCACAAGGGTTTTTTTTCTGACTACTTTCATTTGATAGTTCCTGGGACTCAGGACAGATTTTCTCCCCATTTTTGCTCAGTGACTCTTAAATATGTTAGGTTATCCTGACTTAAAGTAATTTCACATGAAAGTTAGTGGAGGGTAAGTCAGGTAGTGATAATAGCGATGGGCCACTTGCGTCATCCTCTGTGCTATCTCATTTGGGACACCTTCAGGACACTGCTCAGGAAGCAGGACTGTGCTAGGACTGTGGGGCTTCACTTTCAGTGGGGCAGCAGACCCCTCTGGAAGCTGCTAATGCTCTGCTCCAACAGGTGCATGTAACCTTTCTAGCTACCAGTCTGAGAGGTTCAGTAATACGCCTGGACAGCCCAAGAGCAGACTTAGACTTGTGGCAAAGAATTGGGGGAGGACTTAGGCTAGAGGCACAGAAAATTAAGTGAAGGAAAAAAGAGGTCTTTAGAATCCATAGCAAAAACAACTATAATTATATAAAACCCAGAATACTGATTTAATTAATTACTGACTGTCCTGTTATAAAATGCAACTCACTGGAAGGGTTGGGGAGGAACGTCTGATTCTCGGTAGGGATAAAAACCAAAAAAGATGAGAGATAGTGATGTAAGCAAATAAGCAGTGAAAATAGTGCTTAGGGCCTCATGTTACCGGCTAGGCCAGTTGGGACATATGTCCAAAGAAACAAATGAGATTACATTAAAGAGTTCGAAAGTCACAAACTAAACTCCAGAGTCCCATGTGGCTTGAACACTCCAAAAGAGAATCATTTAGGAAGTTAGTTTATAAGCTGTTAGGTCAAGTGATGATAGTTAATGTTAACCAGTTTCCATTCTTAGGTCAGAACCTTCAAATGAAGAAGAAAGCAATCTGGAATTGACTGGCGAGTCGGTAAGATTGGAATCTGAAGATTGGAGAGAATCCGACCATTCAGATGTGGATCTGCATTCTGCTGTGAAGCAGCTCCAGGAGTTCATTCCTGACATAAAGGAAAGGGCGGCCACTACAATTAAGAGAATGTACCGTGATGACCTGGAGCGGTTTAAAGAATTTAAAGAACAAGGTGAGCCAGTGACACGTTCATGTCCATTTACATTTTGGGGTGCAGATCTAGCACCTGGCTGTTCCAGTGAGAGGTTCAGATCAGTAGACTCGAGAGAAGCATCCCAGAGCTCCATCCCAGAGATTTTGATCAAGCTGTGAGATCAGCAAAACGAAGTGCCTGTTTGTCTTCTTATTGTCCCATGTCTGACAGAGAGGCAAGGAACAATGGGAACAGAGTGACCAGATAACTCCAGACTAGAAAATCAACCATGGAAAAAGGGGAAGGTATTGGTTGAGATACTAGGAAGGGTACAGAGGCAAAATAAAATTAATACTGTCGGTAACATCATCAGCTTGGGTAAGATGTAGTTTCCTTCCCTACTATGTTAGTTTGAGCGTACACTTCTTGCAGTGAGCATGGTCTCAAGAGACTCAGCTTGCTCTCCTTGATTTCACTTCACAAGAACCTCCCCACAACCTTGTTGGATTTAGGGCACAGCCGTAGGTGTGGGCCACGTCCTTACTCGCTTTCTTGTCACTGGGACAGTATACCCAGCACCCCCAACATAGAGGAGGAGCGGCTCATTTTGGTTCACAGTTTTTAGGGATTCAATCTATAGTTGACTGCTCCAGGGCAGGAAGGACCTGTCAGGGGAAAGGAACATGGCCAGGAAGTACAGAAGGGAGGAGCTGGGGACAAGAATGTACCCTTCCATGTCAGGCCCCCAGTGGCCCGCCTCTTTGTCCAGGCCCTACTTCCTAACAGCAAGTCAGCTATGGCCTCTCCATCATCCAGTCATCTTCAAAAACCCCACATCTGAAGGCATGAGTCTTTTTGGGGATAGTCTGGATCTAAACCATAATATCTTGCGCTGGCCCCCAAAAGACTCGTAGCCATCTCTTTGTGTAAAATACATTTAATTCATCTCTAACAGCTACCAAGGTCTTTACGGTTCTAGCACTGTGGAAAAATCCAAGTCCAAAGTCTCCTCTGAGACTCAAGGCAACTCTTAGCTGTGAGCTCCAGTAAAAATCAAAAAGAAAATTCCACACTGCCAGTATACAGTGGCACCGGGTAGAGGTTGCCGTGCTAAAGGGGAAAGGTGGGGGTAGAAAGGAACAGGACAAAAGTAAGACTTAAACCCAGCAAGGCAGACGTTAAATTCTGTAGCTCTGTGTTCAACACCTGAGGCAAGTTGAGGTGAACTCCAGACAGCTCGAGTGCCCCCTCCGACAGCATTGCCAGTTGCAGCCCTCCTGGCCTCTCTTGGGTGCCTCTGCTCCCTGCCCGTGGCTTTCCCTAGCAAACAGACATTCCTTCTCAGGGCACACTGCCTGGCCTTGAGGCTCCCTCTACCCCCTTTTATTTTGAGACAGTGTCTCACTGTGTAATTCAGGCTGGCCTTGAATTCATTGTGTTGTCCTGGCTGACCTCAAACTCACGGCAGTCCTCCTACATCAGCCTGCTGATAGCCGTTCCTCTGAAGTCTGGGTGGCCCCACAACTCTGCGTTCTGTACGCCTTAAAAACCAGAACCACATGGATGATGCTGTGGTGTGCTGCCTGCTCAAGTGGTAGCCAGGCCACTTGGCATTGTGCCTGTAGCAGCCTCTGAGTGCTGGGATGGTGGATGTACTCCAGGAGACTCCTTCCTGGTTAGCCTTGAATGAGCTGGGCTCGCCGGGACTTTGCTCAAACCAAAAGTTTCACCTCTAAACCTTGGGGTCTTCAAAGGGTTGAGGTCCTACTGACTCCTGAGGTACCCTTGGGATCTTTCCTATTGCTCTAGTGCAAAATACTGGGCTTCTTTTTAATACTGATCTTTCCAGCAGCCAAACTCTCCTCAGCCCGAGCTTTATGGCTCCCAGCAGTACAGGTGTTTCCTTTTCAGCCACCAGCCAAATTTACACATTATTCAACTCTGCTGTTTGGTCCCGAGTCTCACGGTAAATATCTTTTTTTTCCACAGTAAATATCTTAAAAGCAGCCAGGAGTACCCTTTACTGTTTGTATTTTATCAGTGTCCTAGTCTTCTGAGTGCTGGCCAGTGCCCCACGGCATTCTAGGGCTTCTCCAGCGAACTTCTCCAGACTTCTCCAAACCCCCGCACCACCTCCAGAGGCCTCTGGATCACGTAGCTGTATCGTGGCGAGGGCCCCACTCCCAGTGCCAGACTCTGTCTCAGCCGCTTTCTTGTTGCTGGCACAGTATACCCAGCACTTGCAGCGCGGAGGAGAAGTTATTGTAGCTCATGGTTTCAGACGATGCAGTCCGCAGTCAGCTGCTCCAGGGCAGGAACCGCGTGGTGGCCAGGAGGCAGAGCGCAAAGAGAGGATCTGGTCACACCCCAGGGACCACTTCTTCTGACCAGGCCTTGCCTCCTAACCATAAGTCAGCTGTGGTGCCCTGCGTCCAGTCACTTCCCAGAAGCCCCACCTCGGACCACAGGAAGCTTTGAGGGCGTTCTAGATCTAACCCATAACTCCAGGTAGTGTGTACCTGTAATCCTAGTACTCTAGGAGGCTGAGGCAGGAGGGTTGTGAGTTTGAGCCCAGCCTGGGCAACTTAGACTCTGTCTCCAAAAAAGGGTGGGGATATAGCTCTGTGAAGGCTCTGGGTTCAATCCTTAGTAGCCAAAAGAAACCCACAAATTTAAGACAAATGAGCAGTCTTTACTGAGTATTGTGTGACACCAAAGTAAAAAGAAGGCCTTTGCGTTAGAGAACTAATCAGGTTGAAAAGATTAGTTCAGAAACAGAAAGTAAAGCAATCACACAAAACACCACACATGCACACATAATCTATAGAGCAGTATGTAAGGGTCTCTTTATTAATATAGTCTGGTGAAATTTTTGAGTGATATATTTAATAAAAAAATTTTTTTAATAACCCTGAAAATAGAAGAATACACTGTTTTGATCTCTAGCACCGAAAGGAAGGAAAAGAAGGAAAAAAGCTTGTGTAATATAGTTCATTGTGGTGGGTTTTGTTTTGTTTATACTTTGGAGACAGGGTCTCACTATGTAGGCTGGCCTTGAACTCACTATGTAGCCCATCCTGCCTTTGAACTCCTAGTGATCCTCCTGCCTCAGCCTCCCAAGTGCTGGGATTATAGGTTTCACCACCACGCCCAGCTTCATGCTGGGTGCTCTGAGTAATGAACAGGAAATGAGTGATGGGTGGAAGTGCTGACATTTGTCACCCTGCCTGCCAACGTGTACCCAGAACCTACATCTTTCTGCACCCTATCTTTGGGGAGAGCCATGGCATAGCAGGGAAGGGGGCTTCCTTTAAGCATTTCTCTGTGCACTGTCTGGGTTTTAAATGAATGTGTTATTTTTGATAGAAAAATGATAACTTTTTTGCTGGATGTGGTGGCACAGACCTGTAATCCCAGCTACTCAGGAGGCTGAGGCAGGAGGATCACAAGTTTGAGGCTGGCTTGGGCAACTTAGTGGGACACTGTCTCAATGAAGCAGATAGGAGGCTAGGTCGGCAGAGGGCTTGCCCAGCACGTGTGAGGCATGGGGTTCAGTCCCGGTGCTGTCAGAAAGAGATTGATGAGGCGTGAAGGTCACTGTGGGGCTGAATGACCAGGTAGGACTCTGGGAGAAGAGGCGTGGTGCAAGGCCAAGGGGAGGCAGCGCCCTCAAGAGGGCAGCAATGTCGCCCGCACCAGCTGGGCTGCCTCGCCAGGCGGCGCTGGCCGGCTCTGGTCTTCCAGAAGCCGTGGGTTTGCTGTTGATTCCTGACAGTGCATGCTTCTCTCCTTCCTCCTCAACCCTAGGTATCACTATTCGATTTGGCAAGTTTTCTGCCAAGGAAAATAAGCAGATAGAGGAAAACGTGCAAGAATTCCTCTCCCTAACGGGAATTGAGAACGCAGACAAGCTGCTGTACACAGACAGATACCCAGAAGAAAAGGCCGCCATCACGGATTTGAAAAGGAAGCACGCGTTCAGGCTGCACATTGGTGAGCTCAGAAGTGTCTCTCTGACGGCCTCCGCCTCCGACCCCAGCCAGGGCCACCGGGTGAGGAGGAAGAGTGCTTTGCCCCGTGCCTGGCCCAGCCGGTGTGCAAAGCACGTTAGGACTTGCTGCATGAGCTGTCGCCTTCTGGGTGCCAGTCCACACACTTGCGGTTTGCAGTGTGTCTGTGTGTCTCGCAGGCAGTGTATGTATGGGTCTTGTGAAAAATGAAGGCCCAAAATGGTAGCACACATGCATGTGCCTGTAATCCCAGCACTCGGGAGGCAGGAGGATTGCTGCAGGTTCGAGGTCACCTGTGCTACAAAGTGAGTTCAAAGCCAGCCTGCACTGCATAGTGAAACCGTCTCAAAAAGACAGAGATAAAAGAAAAATCAAATGATCACCTTCTGTCTTTCTCACTCAGCAATAATTAGGGTTTGGGTTTCCTGTGCTGTTCGTTAGTACTTATTTTATGAGGGTACTATGCACAACACCCGCCTCTACACACCACTGTCTCCCAAGTGGGGCCGGGGTGTGGGGTAAGCTGACCCTCTTCCAGGTGCTGCGGGGAAAGTTACAAGGTGAAAGAGGACCCCAGTGGAAAAACCCCCTGGCATTTAAGCAGGGTGATTTTGCAGATGCGCACTGGCATGCAGGAAGGAAACCAGGGTGGCCAGCCCCGTGAGGCACTGTTTCCGCAGCAGAGTGGGGGAGGGAGGAGCGCTTAGTCTGGAAAGAGTTCTGCTCATTCTATGGAGAGCCATTGGCAAGTGTCCCTGCCTTGGTGTCTCTTTCCCCTTAATGCAGGTGATGTTAAAAGTACTTCGGCTGTGCCTCTGCGTCCTCACAGAGCCTGAGGCCCACACCGTTGTGCACTTGCTGGGCCCCTGTGCTGGTCCTTAGGGCGCTGGCGCCTCTGACTCCCTCCCTTCTGGCCCTAGGGAAGGGCATTGCGCGGCCCTGGAAACTCGTGTACTATCGAGCAAAGAAGATCTTCGATGTCAACAATTACAAAGGGAGGTAAGAAGAGGGTCCCGCACCTGAAGGTGGCTCTTTTCTCTTTTTTGCTGGCGTTATAAATCAAAACATCCACAGCACTAGAGGAGAGGTACAACTCGAGGTTTTTACATGTGAAACAGGATTGTGTGTGGAGTGTGTGTCTTCAAGGCCCAGGTCCACCTCTTTAAGAACCCTTTTGTAACTCCTAAATCCTCAGCCTTTTCTCTCTGCCTGGGCTTTGTGCTCAGCGTGCCCGTCTCCTTACTCTCCCTTGAGCTTGCTCTCCACTGCGCTGTGAGCTCCTTGCTGACCCGCACAGTCCTCACGGATGCTGCCCTCAGCCTTAGTGCAGTTCTTCAGGTTCTTCGGGTTTTTAGCAGACATTTGAGGTAGAACTAAAACCAGTGTTAGATCACATACGTGCATTTCGGGGACGTCAGTGCAGAGTGCTTCAGGCAATTCCTAGTCTCTCCTCTCTTCCCCAAATAAAATTCCCAATTTTAATTCATGTCCAATATCCTAAATTTAAAAAAAAAGAAAAAACCAACATAGATTATAAAAATGTTGGGTGATCATTATACTCGAAAACAAGGAAAAAAGCAGGAAAGAAGGTGTCACTCCTGCTTCCAGGAGCTCCAAAAATAATAGTTGCCTCCACTACTTGATTTCCCCCTGCAGCAGCCTCGTTAAATTTGTGCCAGCTGATGGAGGTCTTGCTCTGCTGTTTAATCCGACTGAAAGTCAAGATGTATTCAGAGCACCCAGGCTGCCAACGTAGACATGACCTTGGTTTCCTTTTTTTAAAATATTTACAAAAAGGACTCAACTTTGGATGAGGAAACTTCCTACACCCAGACTGGCATCTCCCCTGTCCTTTTTCAGATAATTAGGAACTTTAAGAAAATTCACTAAAGATAGAATTTTAAATGGGATTTACAAAATTAACAGTGGTTGCCAGCACTCAGGGGGCTGAGGCAGGATGATCACCACGAATTTGTAGCCAACCTGGGCTACAAAGTGAGTTCAAGGCCAGCCAGCCTGAACTACATAGCAAGACCTTGTCTCAAAAAAAGCCAAACAAACAGTGACAGCCAGGGTAGCATTCACTCCTTTGTGCCAAGTTATTTGTGTCAAGGGGATCATTTGCCCTTAGAGTCTTCACTGAAAAAAACATAGGAAGTCATAAACCAAAGAATGTTTAAGACTCTGGGAGCTGTTGGATATCAGCACACTTCTTGCTCCTGTTCACTGAATTTCCTTTTGTGAGGCAGATGGGTTGGAACCAGGACCTTCACACTGGGCTACATCCCCAGTCCTTTTTAAAATTTTTAAATTTTGAGACAGATCTCAGTTGCTAAGTTACCCAGGCTGAGCTCAAATTTACAATCCTCCTGTCTCAACCTCCCAGAGGGCTGGATTATGAGCATGTACCACCATGCCCAGCAATTTCTCTCTTACTTCCTCTTTTTAGTTGGCTTCAAGATCTTTAAGTTCTCTGGGGTTTCTTATTTTCTTTATTTTTTCAAACCTTAAAAAAAATAAAATAAACCTGAGACTCTTGACTGCCTTAAGAAGAAAACTACTAGCAAGTGTTGCTTTTTATTTATCCCCCTGATTCGTTATAGTGAAGAAAAATACAGCGCATGTACAGATCCATTTCCGGACACACAAGAATGTCACGTCCGGAAGTGGCTGGTGTCTGACTGCAGGTCCTCTGCCGTCGCCCTTATAACAGGAACCACATCCTCCCCGTTCCTGCCCCCTTCCCCACCCACGTTAACGCCCAGGAATCTCAGGGTGTTATGAAGATTGCTTTTTTTCTACTTAAATATTAAAGGTGCCTAATCTTGAATTCCATTTTTAACGTAAATGCCATTTTGGCACTTTTCTCTCTTTGTATGTGAGATTGATGCATATTGAGGAATATATATATATATACATATATATATGTATATATGTATGTATTTTTTTTTCCTCCTCGGTACCAGGGATCAAACTCAGGACCTTGTGCTTGCCAAACAGGTGCTTGTACTAAATCCCCAGCCCTGATATTGAACTCCTCAATAGTGACATATTTGTCTTGGCCTATCTTGTTGCATGTTTATGGAATGTTTGTTATCTCTCAGGGTTATGGATATGACAGAGCACAAAACTCAGGACCAGGGGGAGCAGGGGAATCAGCATTGCCTAGGAGGGAACAGAGGCCCTAAAGCTCAGGCTACACTGCCCTCTTGGAGGGGCACCATTGCTCTCACCACCCAGGTGAGGTGAGACAGAGGTCTTCAGGGCAGAATAGGCTATGAGATCACAGAGATCCATCCATAGTTCTGACTGGAACTGTAGTGATTTCACTGCAGTGAGATCCATCCATAGTTCTGACAGGAACTGCAGTGGATGGATGGATGCATGGATGAATGGATGATTGGGTGCGTGGGTGGGTAGGTGGGTGGATGGATGGATAAATGGATGGATGATTAAGTGGGTGGTTGGGTATTTGGGTGGATGGATGGATGGATGAATGGATGATTGGGTGCGTGGGT